GACAGACTTATGCCCATGCACACAAAGGAAACAAAACAACACAACCCACGAATAAATAGAAGCATCCATATGAAACACAACACAAAGAGACTGCACAATGGAGAGACGGCAGCAGCTGAAGTTTCGATAATTCAAAGTAACCTAGAAACAGAAGCGAGGCAAGGTAATGAAATGTTATCTAATGAAATGCCCACCAGCTTTCTGCATGATTCCCATGAAAAATTTGGATTTTCTGCCATGATGACGGTGAAACAGAAATCATACAGGAAGAGGGGAAAATTTCTGACAGGTTTAATCGCTTATTTCTAGTATGTGTTCATGAAAACACGAGGTGATACCGAAGTGTATCAGTTATACCTTCTCCATTGACAAGCATAATAGAAAAAATCTGAATAACTCATGAAGAAATAATTTACCAGTTATTACTGTTAAACACAAAAAAAACTGCCGGACCTCACGGCATACCGACCATTTTTTTTGCCTTAATATGCAAAGCAGCTGTCTTATTACCTTACATTATTGTTTGAAAAATGTTTGAACTGTTGCTTGTTACCTCAAGACTGGCACAGTGTGATAATTGTTGCAATATTTAAAAGTAGTAACTGATAATTATACCATCATGTTCAGTAGCGTACATTTTAACATGGGCAACAGGGACAAGGAGGACACAACACTCGCTGCCTGTTAAAAAGTGCGCACTTAACCTTACGGTATATTGATCAGTCACCAACTAGCCAAACTTTCATCCTTATTGGTAACCGATCGCTATTAAACAATTATGATATAAACCTGCATCCTTGACATCTCTGTGCTGCAAAATGGTTGAACACATCATATCAAAACATATTAGACAATTTCAAGAGGAAAATAATATATTATGTCCCTTCCAGCATGGCTTCACATCAGCTTCACCTACTGTTACACAACTTGTTAAAAACAACTCATGATTGTTGTATTCTCCAGATGCATGTCAGCAAAATTGATGTTACATGTATGAATTTCGGATAGGTATTTGGTAAAGTATCTCACCATAAACTCCTTCATAAACTTTGCAGTGTAGGTAGAATCAGGACACAGTTGTTTGATTGCATTGGTACATGATTATCACATTAACAACAAGCTATTAAACTTAAAAATGATGTATCGAGCAGTTTAGAGGTTTATTGTGAAGTACTGCAGGGCTCTGTGCTAGAGCCTCTCTTGTTCCTGATATAAATGCCATAACATCAGTTGTTGAATAAGCTATAAAATTAGGCTTTTTGCAGACGACTGTCGGATTTATTGCCAGGTTGCATGCAGAGACAACCGGCTTAAAACCGACTGCTGTCTTCAATCCCTAAGTGCGTGGTGCAGAAAATGGGTGATGAAAATTAATTACAAAAACTCCATTTACACTCATATATAAAAAAAGAAAACTCCTTTTTGTAAGAATATAAGATTGAGGACAGAATTCTGAATAATGCAACTAGTTTTAAGCATTAGGATGTAACGATTACAGAGAAATTAAAGTGAACTCTTCATGTAGAAAATATCTGTTCATGAAAATGTAAAAATAAATATGTTTTTTGAGGAAAAAGATGCCGAAAGCAACAAGAGGGGTGAAATCATTGCTATACAAAACTTATATACGTCCTGTTTTAGAACATGCTAGTGCTCTATGAAGGCTGCAACAGAAGGTTCTTAAGGAAAAATTGGAGCATATTCAGAGAATTTCTATACCCATTATTTGTTCGAAATACAGGAAAACAGACTCGTTAATAGACATGTTAAAAACATGCAACTTGGATTGATTGATATGTGGGGTTTAACGTCCCATGATTATGATTATGAGAGACGCCGTAGTGGAGGGCTCCGGAAATTTTGACCACCTGGGGTTCTTTAACGTGCACCCAAATCTGAGCACACGGGCCTACAACATTTCCGCCTCCATCGGAAATGCAGCCGCCACAGCCGGGATTTGAATCCGCGACCTGCGGGTCAGCAGCCGAGTACCTTAGCCACTAGACCACCGCGGCGGGGCAACATGCAACTTGGAATTGTTGGAAGTAGGAAGAGAGAAGCGTTGATTGAAACTGTTCCTTCAGAAACTTCATAGAAAGGTAAAAATAAATAAGGATACATATATTAAGCAGATGCTTGAAAATGGCCTCTGGGAGCAACTTATTTACTCACTGTGCAACCAATATGAACCCGTACAGGTTTGTCTCATTTAAAAAATTTTTTTCCCTAATGCCACCGACTTAAAGATCAGTATGCCAGAGGAAGCTGTGCAAACAAAAGATGCATCTGAGTTTCAAGTACCGTAATTACTCGAATATAACGCGCACCTTTTTTCCGGTTAAGCGAGTTCATAAATCGCATGCGCGTTAGAATCGAGTAAGAAAAAAAAAAAATGAATACGGTCATTCTATTGCCATCGGCATTTCCAAAATGGCCACCCCCTACACGCGTCGGCATGGTGCGTCGGCCATTTCTGCCTATGTGTTTCCCATGTGCGGCACATCGAACATGTGCTGAGGAGTTCGTCATATTGTAGTGCATTAGCATTGACGGCATGGAAGGGCAGACTCCAAAAACTCGAGTGCACCACGATAGCGCTTTTAAAAGAAAAGTCATCGCGTGTGCAGAAACGGACGAAAATCGGGCCGCATCGCGGTCGTTCGGAGTTCCCGAAACGTGCGTGCGGGACTGGCGGAAACAAAAGCAGAAGATTGTCAACAGCAAAGCTTCACGCAAAGGCTTCAGTGGACCACAGTAGGGTCGGTTTCCGCAAATTGAAGAGCTGCTCGGCGAGTATGTGCTTGAGCAGCGAGCGGCATAGCGGCCCGTGACGACAGAACTGCTCCAAGTGCGGGCTATGCAATTAGCCTTAGAAAAAGGTCTAATGCGGAGCCAGTTTAAAGCGAGCAGGTGCTGGCTAACTAACTTCATGAAGAGGAAAGACTTTTCCCTCTAAAAGTGAACGGGCATATGCAAAAAGTTTTGCAGAGGAGTACGATGAAAATCTTCACTGTTTTCAGAGGTTCGTCCTAAACTTGCGGCACAACAACGGCTACTTGCTTGGGCGAATCGGGAATGCTGATCAGACACCTCTTTACTTCGACATGCCCAGCACCACAACCGTCGAGAAGAAGGGGGCAAAGCAAGTTCGCGTGCTGACATCGGTCCACGGCAAAACTACAGTGACGGCAATGCTCTGTTACACGTCAGATGAGCACAAGCTTCCCCCGTACCTCATATTTAAATGAAAGACTCTCCCGAAAGGAGTCGTTTTTTTATTGGTGTGATCGTGTGGGCCAGCGAGAAAATGGGTGCGCGTTGCAATCGATGCCTTACTTTTTTTTTGTCGTGGAAATCGGGTGCACGTTACAATCGAGGACGCTGTAGAATCGAGTAAATAGGGTATTTCTATGCAGATATTTGTGACAACTATAATATTGCTTGTTAGTTGCTCATTGTAATACCGGTATCCCACATGCACTTTTAATCGCGATCAGTGTCGATCTGGATTAACCAGGATCTGTATTAGGTGCTGCTACACGGTCAATTTCAATTACAATCAGGCGTGATCATGATCAAGACTATCGCGATCTGCATATCGCGATTTTGCTGTCGTCTGCCCCCCTTCCCCCTGGCCAAGCTTGTTGTAAGCACAATAAACAAAAAATTTAGCATAGTTAAAAAAACATTTTAGAACAACAAGATGTCTGTAAATAAGCAAATTCTAAACTGTTAAAATTGAAACAATATCTAAAATATCCCATAATTGAGGATTCTTATCAGTCGCATGTAGTTACAGAAGAAGCAGACGACAAGCAGGCGACAAGCAATCGACCGTTTCCTTCCGCATCTAGTTCAACTCTCACACTTTCGGAGATGTTGGAGCACCTCGAAGCAAACTGATTATGAGCATCACAAGCCTTTCGACCGCGTCGCAACGTACACGCACTTCGTGGTCAAACGATGAGACCTTTACAGTAATTGATCGCCGGAAGGAGCGACTGGAAGACTTGAGGCACCAGAAGTGAAACTCAGTTGCTTACAATGAGATTCATGCTTCCCTGCGACTGGACGGCTACGAGTGGGGGGCCATCAAAAACAAAAGCGAAGGCTAAGAATCTCACACAGCCATGCAGGTAAGTGAAAAGAAAGCTCTATCGAGTGATGGATTTATGAAATTCCTCTTGTAGTGGCATGCAAAATTTTTGACGTTCAAGCGGTTCTTGCACGAATAACATCGCTGATAAAGGGCTCTATAAAAATATCGTACGCAGAGTTTTGTCAGTGACATGTTTTACATCACGGCATGCGAGTGCCACCTGGTGCATTTCATCTGACCGCATTAGCTAGGGCCGTGTAACAGCGGTCATAATGTTGATCGCAATCAAGAAAACCGATTCGGATCATTATCGTTGCAATTAAATGTGCCCGTGTGACACCGGTATTAAATGTATGTGGGTGAACAGTTATTGAGCCTCTCCTGTAACAACCTTCAAAACAGGATTAACAGTTCACTAAATAAATAAATGTTACACTGGTATTAGGGTCATGCAAATAGTCACTTTTGATAATGAACTGAATTCAGCATCCTGACAAGGTCTAGAAATAAGTACTGACAGCAAACTGGTGTCATGTTTTTGTATTACTTTGCTGATTTTTATCATGCAAAAGGACACAAATGTCCCTTTGCTTCAACTGGAACTTAGACCCCAGTGTAGAAGAGCCATAAGAGCACTGAAAATATTTCTGTAGATAAGTAACTCTCGAGATGTCAAAAGCGGCATTATAATAGTTACACCATATTGGGAAAAAATTAAAACAAAACACAGTAACAAAAGCCTCATGGCCAGCTCTCCATACAAACTTCTCAATTACTATATACTATGTTTCATTTAAATTAGTGCAGCTTTTACAATGCAATAGCAACTAGACCTGCCTTTCACTGCCAACTCATGGCTTACACATTAACGCACGAGCACAGACATTCAATTCATACACACCTGTAGTAAGTTCCCAGGAAGTTGAGTGGCGTGTACAGCTGCATGATGTACGTCAGGAAGAGCACATAGTCCCCCACCTTTAGGTTTGACTCGTGGTCAGCAACCATGTGAGCACAGAGCAGTGCCCCCGCAGCTACGCCCATCGCAATGACGATCGTCTGGCAGCAGTTGAGCAAGTTCAGGGACGCGTTGCTCCGCCACTCAGCAACCTGAATTATTAGGCAAATTTTGGCCTCGCAAAATCAATGTGCAGCATGGCTCACATTGCTGTAGATGCTCAAGAAACCAACGAACACAAAGAAAACCCAAAAGATTGAAGTTACAAGCTAACATGAGATTGCTGAGCTTTAAAACTTATCACCAACAATGTTATGATAAACATCTGCAGCTATCTGCCGGGTAGCACATGTGGTGAGGCACTGCCATACGTGAACTGCACTAATTCACAGGTGCGACAGCCACTGGTTGCTGCCTTTCTATGTGCCCATCACTCACAATAGTGACAAAAGCTCCCCATAGCGATATTGGTCCAGTAAGACGCTCACTGCACTCTACTCCCCCACCTGATCGAGAGTCGCATGGGCACTGCTAGTCTTCAACACTACCATAGCAAAAGTAGTAATTTGTTGGGTACAGTAATGTGATGGCGTGAGCAAAGAAAGCGATGTACCGGTGATTAACAGGGAAAGCTCGGTGATTAACAGGGAAATTCCTTCTACTCCTCGTAAACATAGCTGCCCTTGCCGCAGCGCCTCGCTCTTCTTTGCTTTTAAGACAGCCACCAGACAATAGGATGCCTACACAGTAAACCAATCAACTCTATTTTTTTCAAACTGTCACAAGTGTATCCCATGTCCCCACTAAAACAAGCTTCCCACACTTCTTCTAGACTGATTTCGGTACAGAAAGACACAGTCGCGATCATTATCACATACCATATTTACTCGCGTAATGAATGCACTTCTTTTCAATAAAAATCAGAGCAAAGTTCAGAGCAGATCGGGCAGCCAACGTTGGTTGGACTGACTAACCGTGTATTCTACACATCGCAGGAACAAAACTACAAGCATCGGATTGCCTGGCTCGTCATTCTGCGGCAACACAAATTCATCAAGTGGACTACGCGCAGGCGCACCTGTGCCTCTGTTCCTACAAGTGCCGACTGCTTCGGATCACGAGGCGTCGACAGTGACACTGCAGACCGTTGGGCACGCCCCCATCAACTATATAAAGAGGCAACCCCAGATAGACATCATTCAGAGCGGATCGGGCAGCCGACGTTGGTTGGACTGACTAACCGTGTATTCTACACATCGCAGGTAGGAGTCTGATCATTTGTGTAACTTAGCATAAATCCTATGCACTCACGGCTACCGATACGCCCTGAACTTGCATTCGTTTTATGACCCTGTCATTTTGTTGTTGCTATTTGTGAACAAAGTGTGAGCCGAAAAAAGAAAAATGGATGCCCTGACGGATTTCGCCAATGCTTTAGGTGAAAAACCACCAAGTACTGTAAAGGAAATAGGGAAGGCAATGCAGGAGATGAACACGAAGCTTGTTGACGTTCTCTCTGCTATCAAAACAGACGTGAACACTACTGATTCATTGTACAATGCTATCAAGGCAGAATTGATATCCGTCAGGGCATCTGTAAGCTTCGCCAGTGACAGCTTTGACGAACTAAAGACTGAAATAAAGTCTCTGCGTAGGGAACTGAATGAGGCGAGAAATCGAAGCATCGAGTGTTCTTGTATGATTAAAGTGTACTTATAAAATATCTGCTTTGTTAACACAATCTGTTCCTTTAAATGCATATTTATTTAGACCCCCTACTAGCCAGTGGCTATGGGTCTAACCAGTGTTGTGTATTTTCATGTAATAAGAGAACTTGAAATAAAATAAAATGAAAAAAAAATGAGAAAAGAAAACATGGAAATTAAAAAAGAATTAAGAGATACAAGAAAACAAATGATAGATCTACAGCAATACTCGAGACGGAACAACATTGAATTGAAAGGCATTCCCTATGTTGAGAAGGAAAACCTAATGGAGATTGTCGAAAAAATTGGCGACTGTTTGCGTGTTGAGGTCAACGCCAAAGATATTGATGTTGTTCACAGAGTGCCAATGAAGGCAAACAATGTTCCAAATATTGTCATTAAGTTCTTGTCTCGCTTCAAATGTGATCTAATAGTAAAGTCAGCAAGAAAGAACAGGCTTAACACGTCAACTCTTGGTTTCAGTATAAATTAACCTGTGTTCGTGAACGAACATCTGTGTCTTGAAAATAAGGTTCTATTAGGTAAGGCTATTCAGAGAAAGAAAGATAAGAACTGGAGATTTGTCTGGGTTTCCGAAGGAAAAATCCTTGCTAGGAAGTCTGAGAACTCGAAGGTAGTTCACGTTACATGCGAGGATGATCTCGCGAAACTAGTGTAGCTGCTCTTCTTGATCACTTGCCACAAGAATTTTCAGAGAAATGGCTGTCAAGATAGCTCAAGTAGATCAGCTTATAGATAAGACACACACACTAACACTGCAATATCCGCAGTATAAGGAAAAACCTAAATTTTCTTCTTGCTTTCTTATCTAAACATACAAACCACTTTGATGTGCTAGCGACTACAGAAACATGGTTAAAAAAAGGAGAGAACGTCAACATTCCCGGATACGAAACCATATCACATCAGCGAGACTCATGTTCATGTGGTGGTGGAGTGGCGCTTTTTGTAAAAAAAGGCTGCGGATATACAGTTATATCCTTCCTGAACCACAACTCTACCGATATAGAAGCACTTTTTATCAGACTCCACTGTTTTGGCATAATTGGCGTGGTTTACCATCCACCAAATTCCAATGCAGCGCATTTCCTCGATAGAATGGAAGAAATTCTTTTCTGTCTTTCAACCAAGTACCAGAACCGAGCAGTCACTGTTGGGGATATGAACATAGACACCGCAAACACTAGTTACACTCATTATACACAATTGATTAGTTCATTCAATTTTCGTAATCTCACACATACGCCTACGAGAGTAACGAGCACATCGGCAACAACGATTGATCACATCTTAACTAACGTATCATCGAAAGTGAATGCTGGTGTTTATAATGAACCGATAGCAGATCACCTTTCTACCTTTGTTTCCATAAGGAAAACTCCAAACAAGAATGCTCAATTTTTCAGCAATGCAAGCAAAATCATTTACAACTTATTACGGAATCACATTCTCTCCATCGAATTTGAAACATTGTATGACGATGATGCCAACATTGAATTAGAGAACATAACAAAAGCTCTTCGCCATGCCATTGAACACAGTCGTTCACACGTGTCCGCACGCTCATATAACACTCCGCTAACTCCTTGGATGACAACAGAGATCCTTGCATTGCTGAAGAAGAAAGACTTCTGGTACCACAAGTGGAGACAGTACAAGGAAAATAAATATTATTTAGGTCAATTCAAACTTTTCAGAAACCAATCCGTGAATCTAATGAGGCAACAAAAAAAGATCTATTATTCTCGACTCATTTTTCAAGCACAAGGCGATTCAAAGAAAACATGGCAAATTGTAAAAGAAGTTGTCGGTAAAGAACCAACACAGCGTGTATCACCTGATGTAGTTGATGCGCGTATACTTGATAAATTTAATCTATTCTTTACTGAAATCGGCTCTACCTTAGCTGCGAAATTCCCTAGTAGAGAAATGAAATGTTTTTCAACCTCCTTAACAAATACGTTTGCTCTTCACTACATCAGTGAGGATGAAATTCATGACACTGTTGCCAATATAAGCACGAACAAAGCCAGTGGAATAGATGGTATTACTGCTCGTTTAGTGAAAGATAACATTAATATTTTGAGTTCCATCTTGTGCCACGTATTTAACCATTGCTTGCGTACGTTGACATACCCATCTTGTTTAAAAAACGCCAAAGTTGTGCCGGTATATAAAGAGGGCAATCGCTCTGATCCTTCAAGCTATCGGCCCATATCTGTGTTAAGCGTTATAAACACCATATTTGAAAAGATTCTGGGAAAACGAATGCGCCTATTCTTAGAAAAATATAATGCTTTTTGCCCGGAGCAGCATGGATTTAGATCACACCATTCCACATCAACAGCTGTGTTATCATTATCACAGAAGATTAACAAAGCACTGCACAACAACCTTCTTGTAGCAGTTGTCTTCATTGATTTAAAAAAGGCATTCGATACCGTCGACCATAATATTTTGCTTATGAAATTAAAACACTATGAATTCCGCGGCAAAGTTTTTAGCCTCCTTTCTAACTACATTGATGGACGTCATCAAATGGTCAACATGCAAGATCTTACGTCGTCATTATTAAACATAAAGACAGGGATACCTCAGGGGTCCGTCCTGGGGCCACTATTATTCTCACTATACGTAAATGATCTGCCATGCATACTCAAATCGGCCGAGTTGCTAATGTACGCTGATGACACAGCTTTAATAGTTACCGCCGATAACATAGCCGATCTAGAATGTAGAGCTAATGAAGAACTAGAAAATATTTTTAATTGGTTTACAGTGAACAAATTAATACTCAATGCAAAGAAAACCAAATACACCATTTTTCACTCCCGTTACCGAAATGTAAACTGTGAGTCATTTCGACTTACAATGAACAACTGCCAAATTGAGTATGTAAATGAATTTAAATATCTTGGTGTAGTGTTTGACAGCCAATTACACTGGAAAAAACAAATTAACTATGTTTGTACTAAGCTAGCATCTGGCTGCAGTATGCTACTGGCTGCTAGAAATTATTTTAGCAGAAATATTCTCAGAGTCTTTTATTTTTCGTTTGTTCATAGTCATCTATCATACTGCTTAGACTCATGGCGATGGACCTTTAAAACTTACCTTGATCTTATCCGGATATTACAAAAGCGTGCACATAGAATTATAGACTATGCGGCATATAATGAACCCAGTGAGTCTTTGTTTCACAAATTGGATATTCTACGTTTTGATTACATACGGCAACATGAAACCGCAGTCACCATCAACAATGTTATTGCACACAGTGTACTTTTCGATGTATCTATCTTTTCTTCCTCGTCCCGCGTCACTAGATGCATGACATTGTGGAATTTTAATCTTCCACCCACTAAAAACGTGTATGGTGAACGCTTACTACAGTTCGTAGGAGCTAAAGTGTGGAATAACATACCACTTCAGATTAAAGATTCTAGAATTTTCTCGAGCACACTAAAAAAATATTTGCTACATGTAGATCAATAGTAATCACCATGTACTAAGCTTTACACATAGTTTGATGTTTTGTCTATACTTGATTATTTCATTATTTATGAACAAAGTGCAACAATGTGTATCTTCTTGTATTTTTGTTTGTTTGTTGAAAAATCAACGTTTTTTGATGTTTTGATTTTTTTCTTATACACAAATTGTATTCTGCTTGTATACTTTCTCTCGTTAGACTCCTTACTAGCCTATGGCTATGGGTATAATCAATGTTGTGCATTTCTTGAAATGTGGTCATAACAACCTCAATAAAATGTAAAAAAAAAATGGATGGATGGTTGGGGATTGATTGATTGAAAAAAAAAATTTGGGGGGTGCGTTTATTACGCGGGTTAGGATTTTACGAAAAATTTTACAAGAGAAGAAAAAAATGCGGTAATGCAAAAAAAAAAAAAAAGTCGCTTAGCCTTTCACAATTTACATAAGCATACACTGTTTGGAAACAGCGAAACATATTTTTTGTAGCACTTTGCTCTTTTTCGGTGGTTGATGGCACTATCTTCTGCAAGCTGTCCCCGGGCCGCCCGAGCAAGCCATAAAAACGCTTTGCAACTATCTTTTCTCGCAATTGTTCTGCTTGTGATCTCGAGGAGCGCCCAAACGTGTCCACTCATGGGGCAACGGGAAATGAAGAGACAGAGTGAAGAAAAAAGAAAGTAGCCTAAAAAAGAAAGGGGGTGGGTTCACAGAAAGCGATCGACATCAGTTTGCGCGGGCAGTTTGGTGACCTTCGCTCACTGTGTGCTTATTAGCTGCGATGTCTCTACATTGGCACTGCGTGAACCCCGCTGTGGCGCATACATGAGACGGGTGACGTGCTGCGCAAAGATAGTAAGAAAAGCAATAGGCATGCGGCAACGGACGAACAGCCGGGGGGGCGGGGGCAGCGAGCTGAGGTGGTTGAGGGGGGTCAGGGCAAAGTAAATGAAAACGGAAGGGGGTCTATGGATGAGGAGGCGCCAGGTGTCAGTTAGCGGGACTGCATCAGATGAACGTAGGGGATGTGCTTATTACATATAGAAAGAAAAGCAATATGGCACGCGGCAATGGCCGAAAGGAGGGGTAGGGAGCGAGACGAGGTGGTTGAGGAGGGTAGGCAAAGTAACAAAAAAAACGATAGAGTTCTAACAGGTGAGGAGACGCCAGGTGTTGGTCAGCGGGACTGCAGCGGATGAATGTAGGGGTTGCATTTATTACAGATAGAAAGAAAATTCGGCAGATTCCAAAGACCTGGGAATCGACGTTATGCGAAGCATGCGCAGGAAAGGCGGCCACGTTGAAATTTTTTATTTTAAATGACACGTCACGAAATGACGCTAAATATATGTACAAATGTTGCATGCACAGACATATGGTAAAGAGTTGCCGTTGTTTATATAACCAGTTGTTTGCACTTGCACAACGATGTCAACTGGAACATGCGTATTGGCAACACCAAAAGCTGATATAAAGCGCAGATGTTCACAAAGATGCTGGCTCGAGACGCTGCTACATAAATCAACTTCAGCGCATGGCACCTAACCACAATTGATGTTAACACTATGTCATGGCTGTATAAAAGGAGTACATATGTAATATTTATAAAATTGGGTAGGCAGCACTGCAACCACTGTTGACGTTTTACAAAGATTGGCGTCTATTTGTAAAGTAGTTCTGAGACCTGGCGCAGCTCTGTGGTAGAATGCTCGACTGCCATGCAGAATGCTTGGGTTCAATTCTTGCTGGAACCCTGAAATTTGTTAAATGCATTCGTCGGGGAGTCAATGCTGCCCATGGCCAGTTTTTCTTAACACTGACCTTTATTATATATCTTCTTTGGGTCGATGCTACCAATGTTGGGTATTGCTTAACGCTCACACGTTAAAATTGCCCATGTGTGTTCTCGTTGTTCCTGTGTACAAATTAAGTGTCAATCACCTGTGGCACGTACCCTTATACCAGAGGCACATACCCGCCCGTAGGTATGTGGCACTGTCTGGTGGGAAGTGTTTGACGACGTACGCAATGGGAAGGGGGCATTATTTATGTTCCGACAAGCTTGCCATACTCGTGAAGCCATTTTACCCTCTCGTGCTAATTTTGGTTCACACCAAGTTAAGGGGGTGACTATGAGAGCACCCAAAAATAAGGGGCTAGATAGATAGATAGATGCATATGCTCAAAGTCACCAAAGTTCGTTAAAAAATACTTCGCATTTAAAAAGCAATATGGCACGCGGCAACGGGCGAAAAGGGGAGAGAGCAAGCCGAGGTGGTTGAGGGGGGTTGGCAAAGTATAAAAAAACTAAAGAGAGTGAACGGATGAGGAGGCGTCAAGTGTCGGTTAGCGGGACTATAGCGGATGAATATAGAGGATGCGTTTATTCCAAACACGTAACAAAGCCATACGGCACATGACAACGGGCGAAGAGGGAGGGAGCAAGCCGAGGTGGTTGAGGGGTGTCGGCAAAGTAATAAAAAAACAGAAGAGAGTCACCCGGTGAGGAGGCACCAGGTGTCGGTTAGGGAGATTGCAGCGAATGAATGTAGGGGTTTTGTTTATTACAGACAGAAAGAAAAGCAATACGGCACACGGCAACGGTCGAAGGGGGGAGGGAGCAGTTTGAGGTGGTTGAGGGGGGTCAGCAAAGTAATAAAAAAATGGAAGAGAGTGAATGAATGAGGAGGCGCCAGGTGTTGGTTAGCGGGACTGCAGTGGATGAATGTGGAGGTGCATTTATTAAGCGGGGGGAAAAAATCCAGATTTTGGTGACTGAAGTTGGAGGTGTGTTTATTATGCGAGGGCGTTCATTACACGAGTAAATACAGTAATTACACCATGTTTCGAACTGGTATAAATTAACGTTTTCCTTTACAAGCACCAGGATATCTTATTCAATTGTCCTTTCATGTCTTCGAAACTACGTGGCCATGGTGAATTGACCTTTTCACAGATATAAACAGGCATTAATTTATTTTACTTTGATTGATCTCACACTCTACAAGGCGTTTACACAATGAGATGTTGATTGTAATGTTCTGCAAGTCGCCATTTGGAATTACTAGGTTCTACAGTACAAAGAACGGTGACAGAACTTGTTGACTAAACACAAACCAGCATTTGGCTCCCTTTATTCTGCCTACTTTTTATACTAAAATAACTTTGGATAGAATGGTCATTCCACTATTCATTTTTAGGTCGATGCAGGTGCATAATGGTTATGCCACAAAAGGAAGAGATGAGGAACTACACACATGAACTTACCTGATACTTTTCAATGCATTCTTTGTAGCCAGATACTTCATACTCCTCTGCATTGTAGTACTTAACCTGAAATCAAGGAAGGTTGAGGCAACATCTTCAACACCAGGACATTAAAGCATTGGTTTGATCAAGTATTTAGTACAGGGGAATCGGATTGAGTAACGAATTAAAAAAAGCTGATGGCTATGCAGATACAACTAAGAGGGGCTGATGTGGCAAGCTCAAATGATACTTTACTTGCACACACTGAGGCCAGCTGACATGCTTTTCCATCATTTAACCCTCAGGTGTTGGTTGGCAAATTCATCTTGGCAAGGTGCAGACACTGAAGGCTATTTACTGATGTCCTTTTGTAGTCATTGAACATCACAGCATCATCAAGCATGCACTCAGTGATTGATGCATTTTGCTTTATGCATTTTGGCACATACAACAAAGGAGTGTGCTAATGTTAAATCTTTCAAAAACAACAAAATCAGGCGGATAAGTTCGAATATTAAATAGAAATCAGTGTGGCTTTATTAACGAGCTTAACACAGTGTACTAGTAGTATTGCAATCGTGTTGACAACTGTAACTGTGGCACAAGTGCCTAATAGCTAATAAGACACTTGTTAACTGAACTGGCTGTTTACTTCGCATTGTCTTAGGGCTTCCAACAAACACATCAATGCTCCACAGCTCGACAGTCATTAGGTCTTGCGTCACTTCATCTCCAATAATGAACTCAAGAAGTGGGGCACAGTGCTACAGAAGAAACAAAAAAAAAAAAGCCAGGTACCAGAGTAGCAGCAGGCCACAATGCAACCATCACATAGCAACTAGTAAAATGTAATGCAATCACTAAAGAAAGGGTGACAGGATAGAGCACAGGCTACCAAGACTGTCATGTTCTCTCTACTGCAGCTGCAGAAAACGTCACTAGTTAAACATAAACTAGCCAGAAAAAAGTTGTAAAAGCAAGCTGCAAGCTTAATCTAATGGAAAGAACAATCCCCTAAGGTCTCGTGCCAGTGCGTACTTACCGTTTCAAAATTGAGCAGTGCGTCGACTCCTCTAGCTTGTGCTGCATTGTCGAGCTGATTCATCTCACGTACGAAACTTGGTTCTCCACTCGGTAAGGCCAATGGTCGACTGCTGAAAAGGGTAATGACAGGAGAAACAAACCTTCACCTTACACTCCACAACAAATGTAGGAATTCATTTGCTATTCTGAACAGTATTCATGGCGATACGAGCAACTTCCCAGAGTCAATTTGGGTCTTTCAATGAATGTCTTTTGTATTTGATCGGAAATAGCGAATTTTGTGACCGGTGGCTTTTTGCACCACTCAGCTGAAGTAGCAATGATGACACATTCCAGGACAGATCGATTGGCTTGCACCACTTGAATCAGTTCACGAGGTGCTGTCAGGTTGCCATTCGTTTTAGTGGTGTAGCAATGGCCTCCTCTGAATCATGCTATTCGTCTGAGAAGGTGCTGGAGAGGTGAAGGGCTGGTTCACAACCTTTCTGCACCCTCCAAATTAGTGAGTGGAGTCATGCATTTGCGCACTAGCAGCCGAGCAGATGATGCAGCATCCAGGCGTTGGTGCCATACTCGTATCTACTAAAGTGGCATCTGATTTCAAGATATTCGCACCTCATGAACTGTCCACATACGCGTTTGGCCACCTGTCAATGTTAGGTGAATGGTATAAAGATAACAAAAATAAGGCCTTCTCTGTGTCGGCACCTCATCATTTGCTTCTAGTGTAGCACTGTGCCGGCACCACTGAACTCAAGCTTCACAATTTCTGAACTTCTCGTGCAGCCGCCATGAACCAGTGGTGAATGGTGCAAGTGAATTAGATGGACCTATTGTTTGCATGTGCAGTCATTCACTAATAATATGGATATGACTGACAGCATCACAACACTGCCAGTGATCCCACAGACTTGGCACGGTAAGAGTGACTGAAAATGGCACACAGTTTGGCCACTGGCACATGTGTGAATAATGTGCGAGCTAAAAGCCATTGAGTTGAGCACTAAAAGCAAGTATTCTTGCTGCGATATGTTGGCAGAATGTTTATCAGTGTTTCAACTACAGAAGTAAAGTAGCCTAGATGACTGAGAAGTCGCTAACCTGCACCTGAACCACAAGACAAGCCAAATTGGCAAGTCATAAAGGCTTCATTTTCAATTTTTGATGCAAGGACCTGCAGTGACCATGGCTTCGACAACTAGTCTGTAGGACCACACAACAATGCATCACAGGACAGTCACTGACTTCGGGTGCAGGGAAGGGGTATGGAGACCTGGCACAACGAGCGTTTACTGTACTTTCAATCATCTGTCGCAAGAGACAACACTGAGTGATGAGATAAGACGAGAGATGCACTTTAACGATCTGCACTTTCCACATTGATGGTCACAAAACCAATTCACCAGAATCTTCCCATGATGGCAAGAGTTTTGTGTCACTGCTCAAAATTTACATTTGCAGAGCCATAGAATACAGAAATAATAACAAAATGCACAACCTTTGTGATTGCCCACGCTCCATGTCTTTTTGTTGGAGCTCTATGCCACCAGGTGACAAACCAATCCTGGCCACTTTTAAGTCGCTGCATATGCCACCTCCGGAAGCAGGGTTGCACGTCCGTTTCTCAAATACCCCTAGCAACTATGCACTGCATACTAGACACTAGGCAGCACTCCTGTGTTTCATACCTCATGTCTATCTTCGTCTTAAAGCTTTCACCAGGCTTGTGCAAATATTCGAGCACTTTGAATATTTGCACAAATATTACAGTATTCGAATTCTCTTCGATTTGAAATTAAATTATTGAAAATTTCAAAGTATTCGAAATCAACGATTAGCTGCATTTCAATACACATGTAACCCCACGTAAAAATACTTTCCCTGCAGTAAAAAAATGCTGTACCGTGGCCACATCTTTAAAACAAATCTGCACTGCCGCAAAGCCCGACTTCAAGGTTAAATAAACTTATTAGCCTCCAATCGATGCGTCATTTTTCATGTTTAAACCTTGTTATACTTTGAATGCTCTAAGAGTTGTAAACTTTAAAACTTATCCTATTTTGCAGGTTTTCACTTGCATAACGTATTTACTCGCATAATGATTGCACTCGCATAATGATCGCACCCCTAAATTTTGTCGTCTAAATTCGACTCCCCCCCCCCCCCCCCCCCAAGTAATGATCACACCCTGAACTTGCCGCATCGACAGGTCATGTGCCAAGTCTGGCTGAACGCGCGTATCATTGTTTCTGTGATTTGAACGCGGGCATCACTATGCTAATGACGTAAATTTACTGATTTAAATGAAAGCATTCCTTATTTATATGGAAGAAACTGTCTTGACGCGCGTGACGTACTCACAACCTCCATAACTGGCGCAAAGAAGAAAAAAAATGCGGTGGCTTCGCTCCACGGAGTGCCTCGCTCCGTCAGCCACCATGTTTGTTTTGACATCCCCATTGTTACAGCAGCAGCAGCCTGTTGGTCGACCTGTGTTCATCCCGCAGCAATGTTTTTTTTTTCCCTGAGACCATGTTTTTTTTGTGTGCTTTGTGATCGTCTGTTGAAGCGCCATTTCACCATGAAGCGGTATGCGAGCTTTACTGCTGTGTTCAAGCTGAAGGCGCTTGACTACGCGCTAGAGCACGGCAACCGCACTGCCGGCAGACATTTCGGCGTCACGAAATCCGGATCCGATATTGGAAAAAAACAGCGGGACATGCTCATAGCTACTGACAGCACGCGATGGGCTTTCCGCAGACCCTAATCTGGCAAGTTCCCTGACATTGAAAAGGCAGTCCTCGAATACGTGAAGGACATGCGCAAGGACGGTTATGCAGTGTCATTAGACATGATACGGATGCAGGCGTGCACAGTTTCGCGGAGGCTGGGAGTAGTCAGAAAGGACTTCCGCGCCAGTTCCGGCTGGACGACACGCTTCATGCGGCGGAATGGACTGTCGCTGGCGTTTCCAATGCGCTCGACGGAACGAAAGATGACCCTCTGTGGGACAGTGAAGACACTGCCGGTTCCGACAGGGAATCGTGCGGTGACGACACTGACGCCAGTGATGCTTCAAAGTCTGAATGAACGTTAGGGGGTCAGAGAGGTAAAAAATAAAAGAGCAGTGTGCCATGCATGTAGCTCGTGCGTAATGTGTGCATTTTATTACAAAGGTAAGCCTATATTTACTTTTTGTTTTGGTAATGTTCATGATAGCTACCATAAAAATTCTGATCAGCGACTTTTTTGCGTTTCCAGTGCTCAGAATATTTTTTCATGGAAAATTTACCCCGCATAATGATCGCATCCTGAAGTTAGAGTCAGTTTTTTTGAAAAAAAAAATTGCGATCATTATCCGAGTATATACGGTACTACTGAAAGTCAAATCTTGCTGCTATTAAAAGTTGCTTTCACGTTCTTTGACAAAAAGAAAGACATTTGCAGATGTCTTGTTCTAATTTGTAACAAAAAAGGTTTTGTGCAGGTTTGTTGGGCCATGACAAATATGCTCACTTCCTTTAAATTATGTGACATAAACTATTTAAATTTGAATCCAATATATTCTACTGAAGCACTATTCACTTCAAATTCCCTCCAAACTTAAATTTACTATTCTCACAAGCCTAGCTTTCACCATGTATCGTTTCAGAAATGTTGATGCGCAGGCCAGTTTTTGTACTTCTCGACATCACCGCTGGAGCAAGTGTAGAGGCGAGTCTTGAGAGCTGGTTTAAATGTGGCTGCGGCGATTTGATCACATAAGAAAAGTAAAAAAGCTTAATATATTCACTTTTATAAACTATAACCAATTATTAAATTGATGTCACAGTCATTAGAAAGTCTGAAAAATGCAGCGTTGATTGCAGTAGTATTATTTTACATGGCACCTTGCCTCAAGTGAATAATTGACTTCCTTGATAAACTGCTACTTTCAACAAAAAGAAAGTCATAACTACATGCACATTGATGTAGTAGATAATTACATGGCTTCTTTGACCTTATCACGACACATGAGGCAAGTTTATGATACTGGTATGTCTGACTCATCCTGTTGCCATAGTTCACACATGCACTGCAAGAAGAGGACTACAAAGCCCCAAAAGCACAGGTTATGCATAGTTAAGCTGTTAAAAGGGTGCAACCAACTAGATCCACTATTATGCTCTGCTAAAATGGTTCTAGCCAGGGCAGGATTTGACTAAGAGCCCAACCAGTTTGTACATGATCACTAGCCCTTCAGCTGGGCCAGTTGGGGGCATACTGTCATCTAAATGAAACGAACAGTAAACCTCGAAAGCTGTCTACTTGTATCAACACCACACTTATGAAGCTTTGATGGAGGCAAAGCAAATGAACTTATCTATATAGAATTAAAATGTAAAGTTATTGCAGTACACTTTTGAGGTGAGGCCTGGCCAGAGGCTTTTCAAGCAACAGAGATTTCGATCACCTTAGCGCTTTGCTTATGAATACGAACAACCAGAACCTCACCTAGGTATAAGGCCATGGTGATGAAGACAATCAAACCAAACCAGGCGTTGAAGGAAACGGTGAAGTATACGATGGCGACCACAATGTCAGCCACAGCTGGGAGGATGTTGAACAGGATGTAGCTGGAAACAAAGTCAGTTGCTCAGTGCCCCTCTACTGTAACTCTGATGTGCAGATAACTTTTGAAGAGGAATAGAATACAAATTAAATAACACTTTTTTCATATGCTGGGACAGTGTCAGAGAGTTTGTGGATGTGTAATACAAATTTGCTGGGCAAAATTAAAATAGTCTGCATAACAGCGACACTCTACATCTACAATGGAACAGCACCACACTTCACCCAGAGCGATTATCAGTTTAAAATCTCCTATCGATTAAGCCACCAAGGTGCACAATGACTCATTCAAACAAAAGTGTTGCATCTATTTTTGCCATAACATATCAAGAACCAATCTTAGTGTCTCAGAGACTTGAAGCAGTAAATCTGGAAACTCCACTCTTTTTACTTATTCAGTTATTTATTATTCGTTTCAATGTACTGCAGGCCAAGGTGGATGTCTAGACAGCTGGGTCGTAGGTAAATTTACATGAACGAATGGAACTAGAATTTACACATTTATAAAAAATTGTGTCGGATCGCTGTCACACGGAGTTAGTTTTTTGTACTGTATGAAAAGCTATCCTGTACTGTCACGTGAATTCCTTCCTATTTACTCAAACGGGCTTTCGTTCACGAGACATTTCCCATGAACAATATACAGGCTTCAATTTCTGGCAAGCGTGAACATCTTTGTTCTCAAGGGTAAAATACACTTTTTGAAAGAAATTTACTTCTTTTAGTGTGCAGGTAACGTTTAAGAAAGAAGATAGAGCAGTGAGATAGGACAGAGCGCACTGTCCTATCTCACTGCTCTATCTTCTTTCTCAAATGTTCTCTGCACACCAAGAAAAGTAAATTTCTTTCAAAATGCAATACCAACCAGCCCAAGTAGCCACTCTTTTGCAGTAAAATACACCTTACAATGCCAATTGTCACTTTGCACTTAATCGATTAAACAAAAACAACAAATCCAATACCAAACTCTCCGAAATACTATCTAGCCAAACAGCCATACCTAAGGAGAGATGTGACGCTGCTAGTCCCTCTGTCAAGAATCTTCAGCACCTCACCGGTTTTCCTGCTCAGGTGCCAGCTCATGGACAGGCTGCAAAAAATCACACACAGTGAAAGATGTGAAGTACTATGCCAAGGACAAACTTTTAAGTGACAAGGAGATTAAGGAGATGCAGAAATGCCTATTAAAGTACATAGATGGTGTCAGTGAGTTATTTACGGGTTGGTGATCCCATGAGTATTATATATAAATAACAGTGATACAGCAGGAGATTCTCATTATACACTTTAAGGCAAGAGAATAGAAAAATATATTCTATTAAACAGGGCTAAACAAGGGTTCTGAATTCAAGTATGAAACCATTCATACGAGAGGGAGTTGTTTCATTCAGGCAGCAATTCCATTTAAAATATTTTTTGTTTCGAATGAAACACCATCCTCTCTCTGGCAATGCATGTTGAAGCTGCCCTTTACACCTCCACAGTGGTCACCCACTCACCTCTTCTTCAGGTGACCCACTTTGTTTTAAATTTCAGCTCTATAAGTTGTCACCAAATGGAGCATGCACTTCTGGCAAACTGGAGATAGAATAGCAATGATTTGTGCAGTTCCTTACATACAGCACACACTGAAGATTACCAGCATTTCTAAAGAGCTGGAGAAGAGAGCTGCTTACAGTCGAAAACTATGAATGTGCAAAGCTCGCACATTTGTGATTGATTTGAGCATTGATTCATGCTGTTCTGTCTGGTTATATACGCAGATCTTTATCTCAAAAGTGTGCTTCACACATACGGCATCTTCGGCTAAGCTGCACTGGCACCATGGCGGCGAAAGAAAAGCTATGTCAAACAGTGCCCGAGTTTTACAACCCGCTATGGGCCAGACGAACGTGTGAACCACAAAACTCAAATCTGCATCAACCGCGCTGTCTGCAAGAGACTCTATGCAGCAGACGACAACCTCCAGCGTCCTGTTTGTGCTGGGAATAAGAGCGTAAACGACAGAAAACCAAACAATGAGAGACACTTGCGAGACGTTCGGTGTCTAGTGAGTGCGTGTCTATTCTCCAGACAGTTATGCTGCATTAGTTCTATACCAACTTGATGAGGGTTACGGTGATTTACGAATTGCCATTGGTGTCCAGTGAAATCCTGGCAGCAAAACTAGCCTTGTGCAAGCACGGTCGAACGATGTAAGCTCATGCACATTTTCCCTTCAACTCGACCATGTTCTGTGGCAGCACCAGCTGTACATTACCCTGCACTAATGGAACATCACTGCGTCGTCTGCTAGTGCATGCAAGCTGACGAGATTGCTTCACGCTTCACCATCAATCTTCATGGTGGTGTGGTGGTGTGCACTGGTGTCGTGGCCAGCCCAGCCGAACATGCGGCATTTCACACGTGGTGCCCAAGCGAATGTACAGCACTGTACGAGTGTGTAAGAAATGCCACTGGAGCTGCCCGCTGAAGATGCGAATAGAAAAATCTGGTATTACAGCGTTCTCATAACGACTAGCTTTATGGCTAAAAAATTCAGGTGCCATATGAGCAAGAGAAATAAAGGCAAGCGAAGCTTAACGTGCAGTGCAGTGTTTCAACAGCGAAGCTTCTCTTAGTCGAAGCTTCCCCGTCCATTAGCAAAGTGCTGGTCTAGGGCTTTAAGGTATGGCGAGAGTGGGTCTAGGTAGGAGAGGAAGGGCTGCGCTGTGCCAATATGAACGACTGCGAGGCTCGGTGGAAAGGGAGAACCAATAAAAGGCATGCAAATATGGGTGAGAGAGAGCCTGACAAAGGGGGCATTAGCTAGGTTGTTCTGACAGTGTTGGCGAAGTGGAGTTGGCCGCATTATTTTTTTTTCTATCATACTGCACAATAATGTTTCCTATCTGTTTCGTTCCGCAATGTTGGGAATTATATTATTTAAAGTAGCGCAAACTACGGGAGCAGAAATAGACACAACCTTTGTAAGTGCCTAGATGCTTGTAAGCGTCCGCTTCTGGTCCTGTAGTATGTGCTACTTTAATAGAACCATACCAACTAGCCCAGCTGTCGGCCTTGCTGCTGGGAATCAGACCTTCAACCACATGCTTAGCAGCGCAACACTTCACCTGCTACAGGCAACAACAATGTCCATGTGCTCACATCCAGGCAACAATAAAATGTGGCAATGCGAAATGACAGGTTGCCTTACACAAAATACCAGAATGCCAGAGCAGAAAAGGTCGATCAACAACAAGCTCGCTATAGAGAAAGCATAAATTATTAAAAAATGACGCATACAATTATGTACGCAACCAGCGCACTGTCAAAGGCCACGTTCCTGCTCACTAAAAAGCACTGAATTTTTCATGTACGATGCCTAAATCTGTGATCTAAAACAGCTTTTCTCAAAACTACTAAAGTATTCAGAGACAGAGAGTATTACTGATTGGTAAGTGGATGGGTCGAGAGCCTGTGAATAACCCAGACCACATACGTCCACACAATTTCGGGACCCTAAAATAACATAGATGAATACTAGGTACTGCAGGACAGTCTGAGTCTAAGAAAAAACATTCTAAAATTATGAAGCTTTGTGAATTGGGCAACATTTTTTCTGCATCATCAAAGGTCGAGAAAGTGGGCTACTCACTGGTGAAGATGGGAGTACAGTTCAACTTCAATCTCCTTTACTGTGAACTGCTGCACTGAGATCCACAGATAGGAACGCAGGTTCGACAGGATGCTGCTGCCACCTGAAGGTATGAGTTGGTGTCATTTAAAGCGGCTTACAAATGCCCATTTGACAGCATGCAGTATGAACAGTGTAGCCACATAATTTCGACATTCACAGAATTTTTTAAAGCACGACTTTGTAAAGTTGAGACCCCCCTTTTTTATGTGCATATTATTCGTTGCAGCAAACATTTAACAATAAATGCATTTACCAAGACGATGGTGTCACCCAGAAAGAGTAGGCTTGTGCGAATAGTACATTTTTAGTTCAAAGTGAATTCGAAGCAAATGGTGATATTGGTCTAATTATTTTGAATTCAATATAATAATTTTGAACTGAATAGCATATAAGAATCTCAATGATCCGAATTCGAAGGAAGCATGCAAAATATTTGCATCATCCCAAGTTCTTGTGAACCAAAAATAGGTTAAAGCTGATATTGAAGATGAACAAGAACTTTATTGGCAACTGCATCTTGCTGAGAAAATTTCATGATGTTGTTTTGAACTTTCCTGCCTTCACCATCTCTAAATAATATGCAGCAGTTTTCTCACTTACATTGCTGACACGGTGCGTTCACACGTGACATGAAGGGAGCGAAAGTGGGCAAACTCATTCAAAATTCACTCGCTACGGTGCTAAAGCTGCAAGAAAACCGCTCAAGGTGTAAGAAGCCGGTTAAGGTGCAAGAAAATCGTGCTGCGATGTCGATATGAAAAAAATTCAGTGCTGGAGAATTCGCACTGGAGAACTGAAGCGAAAACGCAAAAGTGGCTGGAGAACCATGTCCTGCCCATCGAAAATGTTCACATTCGTTCTGCCCCTCGTACATGCCACCGCCGCCATCAAAGCTTGAAAATTCATTTTATTTTGCCCATTTCCTGAGCATTGAGGTTTGTATCGAGTTGAGAAGAAACCGTTCACACCTTTACGAATATTCTTTCAGATGACACTCTAACAGAAACAAAACAAGCAGATGCAGCGGCGGTGACCGATTCAGCTGGCAGTGGTAAAGCGAGGGCATGCCGACTCCCTGCTCCTACACCTTTTTCTACTTCCAATGTTTTCAGCGATCGTAATCCAGACCAAGCTCTTGATGAATGCGTCCTTGTCAAGGCCGTGAGCTCTGACCTGCTGCACGGGTAGATACACCACTAACGCCTTTGCCACCAAGTTGAATTAGCGGCTGGCATGGTGGCTGGTTGTTTACATCTCGTGGTTTGAGAGCTAGGGCAGCGAGTGTGGCCAAAGTCATGAAGCAAAAAGGCAATCTGCTATCGCATGGCCGGAAAATTGGTCTCCGTCTAATTTTTTCGCGTTGGCCTCGCGCCGTGTTTTTTCCGGGCACTAAAGTGAGGAAAGTTCCAGTGAGTTTTGCCGCATTCACTACCTTCGAGGGTAAGAGTGAACGGGCCTTTCTCTTACAGAAAAGCCGTGTTGCACAGCTGGAGTGCAGAGGTCAATCACACATTTGTATCATCCGCAGTGACTGGGGAAACTGTTACTATAACACCGAATAAAGGCATATTTTATCTACTGTAGTTCATTGAAAACAACCTTAAAATTGGTATCATGAAATTCACATCAACCATAATCTTGTCATCAAGATTCTACTGTATATCACATATACAAAGAAAAATGGGCATATTCGTTATGACCATATTAACCTGAACAACATTTCAAAAAAATGAAACAAGGCCTGTGCGAATGCCATTCTTTTTGCTTCAAAGGTAGTGGAAACAAATTTCAATAGTAGCACGATTTGACTTTGGGTAGAATGCAAGTGATAGCCTATAAAATATGTTACGCTATAAAATTTGCTATATGAGCCTGTAAGTCGATACAACAAACTTGTAAACTAAAAAAAAATTAATCGGTGTGAGGGTAATATCATTTAAAATTGAAGTGGGGCTTTGCAGCAGCGCAAATCATCCCTGGATAAGTGTTTTTAAGGCTTAGCACTACTTCACTACAGCAAAACCACATTTACAGGGGTGTTACATGTGAATACACATTTGAATAGATACTTTCACGGTTTGCCACCATTCCACTGCAGTGAAACTACCATTCAAAAATGCCACATGTGGACTATTATGCCCCTACAGTTCAACTCCGCTACAACGAACGCCACTTCAACGAAATTTACACTACAATGAAAAATTTAAGATTCCCCGTCAGCAGCCTATAGGAGTCAATGCATAAATATTGTCGCTACAATGAACACTTTTTTTTCGATCGTCCCGCTTCAACAAAATTTTACAAAGCAATTCCACGCTCATGTACTAATTGCTATGCATTAAGCCCAATCTTTAACATTTTGATCCATTTTCAGAGCCTGAAAATGCGTCGACGAAGTCTAAAACACACGTTGGCACCACCAGAAACCGCTGCTATACCGCCGCTGTTCAGCAAGCACTGGGTGCCGCCATTGCTCGATAGTGATGGCGATGAGACTGCCCTGCTTTTGTTTTGCCACTGGCTTACTTTTGAGCCACAGATGATCCGAAGCTGAAACTCAGTTATGATGGCTAGAATTGGGAGGTGACGCCAGCGCCCGCATATTCGCCGAGCGCGCGCAATCTTCCTTTTCAAGCGCCGCCGCGACTGTTACCACGGCGCTTCTGTCGGCATAGTGATGCGGGCGGGCGAAGCACGCGCTCCGCATTCTCTCGTTGGCTCGCCTCTGGGATCGCTGGTTCGCCTCTGAAAGTGTGTTGGGGCGTGTTCTCGCGTTGTTGTCTCGCTTTTGGCAAAATGCATTTAGTTGCTGACACGACAGTGTGAGTGCCGAGCTTAGGATGAACTCCAGCACTACGAAAGCGAGGCGTCACTGCTTCGCTCCTGGCTGCACGAGCGGCTGTGTGTCATCGAGGGAGCAAGGTCAGCGTGCTTCTCTCTTCTCTGTTCCCAAAGACCCTGCCCTCTTCGAAGCCTGGCGACGAGCCGTACCCCATGCCGACAAGTCGTTGGACGCGAAGTCGGGGCTCTGCGAGCTTCATTTCGACGAGCAGTTTATTGAGCGTTTTTACACGAACGTGATAAACGGCGAAACTGTTCAGATTCCCCGAGAAAACCGGTGCTGAAATCTGACGCGGTGCCAACCATATTCCCAAATGTTCCTGCGTATCTTTCAAAGGAAGTGCCGAAGAAAAGGACGTCAAGAACATCCACTTGCGGCCTGCCATTGAAAATTCGACGTCAGGAACCAAGCACGTCTGCTTGCGAGGAGACAGCTGGCTCGTACAGCACAGAAAGCGACAGTCACCAAGTACCTGTTCGGAATGTGCCTGCAATTCCTAACGACCGCAAGTGTGGTCTTCCCAGCGCTTACTGGGCTCGACATCGAATTGCTGGAGCCGACAACGCCACGGTGTTTACAATGTGTGCACTAGATCGTGACAAGTTGACTTTTGTCAAGTATGTGCTAATAACATCAAATGAAAACAAACTTGAAGCGACAGCTTTTGTGCAAGCTACAAAAATAAAGACCCTTGACATTACCGACATCGAAATGGCAGAAGAGTTGCTTCCCGACGTCGACTCCATGATACTATGCAGTGGGTTTGGTGAAACTGGTGAATTTGGAGTAAATTTTAAGTACAAGGAGAAGACTTTTGATGACAGAACCTTCAGCTCATCTTGTCGTGGGGTCGCTCCAATGCCAGAAAAAGCCTGCCCACAATGCAAGCACCTCCGAAGGCTGCTCCTGAATCGAGAGTCTTACAGGCGAAGAAAAGGCAAAAATGTGGCCCAGTCCCAAAAGCTTTCATACAGGCTTAAGCTGCGAACAGCGCAAGCGAAAAGGAGTCGCCTGAATTTCCTGCAGGCTAAATCCCTCATCAAACAAATGAAAGAAAAGTGTTACAAGCTGCCACTCTAGCGTCGCCAGCGCGAAGTCGGCGACGGGAATGACAGCAGGTTAGTTCGTTCCGTACGCAAGCAGAGACAGTGAAGAGATCAGAGACGTGAAAAAACAAAACAAACTTTACTCTAGTGATATAGCAGCACACGGGATCTAGTACAACACTTCAATACAACTAACAAAATACATCAACACTTGATACAACTAAAAAATACATATAAAAAAATAATAAATCAGCTTACGAGAGAGAACTATTACAAACTACACAAACTAACAACAATAGAACTACGGAGGAGAAAGTTCGAAGATATAAACAGGTGAAGGCATACGTGTGATGACCGGCAGCGTTGCGTCCCCGACGATCGGATGCGAGAAGTCGAAGAGAGTTCTGGCACGACTGCGATGTCGGCGGTGTTGCAACGCTGGTGGATCCGGGAGGCTAGTGCTTGCAGGTGACCTCAGGCAGGTTGAGCTAACTCGAGGCAAAGTCCCGATGTCTACGTTGCAGACGTTAATATCGCGTCACAACTGGACGAACGGCTAAGTTTAGGTGGCCAGCCGATACAGAGCCACACTAAAAACTTCTAGAAGAGATACTTGTTGATCTGTTTCTAAACCATGTTGGTCAGCGACTAGCCTGCCTAGCAGGGCAGAATCCTGCGCTTAAATCCCCCTCGTGTCCCCTCGCTCTCTTTCTTGGGGACAAGAGACCTCTACATGGGTCCAATCGTGCGCGTTTCATTGTTGGAAACTCCGCCCCAGAAAATATATTGCCCCCACCCCTTTTTAATTAGGAGAGGGCCCTCAACTAGCGAGAGTGACAACCTGTTGGGGTGTTGTCATACGGCTTGGCCACCAGAAGTTTTCCCGTGGGAACGATCAGACTGTTTGGCTCTCAGCCGGTGCGTCCCGTAGTCTAAACCTTGTTCGGGGGTACATCGCGGCCTTCCACGACCCTGCAGACGCCGCCGTAGGTAGAAAGGATGAAACGTTGGCGGCGATGTTCAAAGAAGAACACCCCATTCTGCACTTCCCGGCTCTCTTTCATGCGCCCGCAGTTCCCGCCAGTCAGCGGGGTAGTACGGCGCCCGTTAATTGCCGTGACGCCGGGTCGCAAAAATGGCAGTCCGTGACATTGCGCCGGTCAGCGGGGTAGTACGGCGCCCGTTAATTGCCGTGACGCTGGGTCGCAAAAATGGCAGTCCGTGACAAAAAGAATGCACAGAATGACTCCGCAGCATTTGAAGAAGCGGAGAAGGCCCTACCCATTAACAACAGCAACAAGTCAAGGCGTGCTTTACAGCGGCTAAAATAAAATCCACAAAATGAATGAAGTATGAAAGTGAATGGGCTCTAGAGTGCCTAATTACGTCCATGAAAAGCCCACGCCTCTATGAGCACATACGCAAAAACAACATTATGGCGTTGCCTTCTCGAACATCACTATGTCGATATCTCAAACGTTACAGGAATGGGTTTGGCCTGAGCGAAAAAGTGTTTGCTGCTGTGGCGCAAAAACAAAATCTATGGACTTGTTCCAGCACCATGGTGGGCTGTTAATTGATGAGATTAAGCTATCCGAACACTTGAGCTTGGGACTCGATGGCACTATCGAAGGTTTTGTGGACCTTGGGAAGTTCACACCAGAGAGTGAGCGGTCCGTAGCATGTGACCATGGCCTTGTAGTATTGTTCGTGCCTTTTACAGGCACGTGGCACCAGATTATTGGGGTGTTCGCATCTCGCAGCAATGTGAAATCCGAGACGTTAGACAAAATAATCCTCGAAGCAGTAGTCATGTGCGAAAACGCCGGTCTGCATGTAGACTTTATCACCACTGATGGAGCTGCGTGGAACAGAAGCATATGGCACTCATTCGGCATACAAGGCACGAAAGGAAACACAGTCTGTAGAAGGCAGCACCCTACAGACCCAGAACGTTTTCTGCACTTCATCTCGGTCTTCCCACACCTTCTTAAATGTGTGAGGAACACTTTTGTTCGAACGGGCGTGAAACTGCCAGAAGGCCATGCCAGTGTTGACGCTATTGACTGTGCCCGGAAGCTTGATGAACCGCATGACACGACTCTCAAAGCCATGCCTCATATTAGCGATTCGGTCGTGCATCTCAATGGCTTTGAGAAAATGAGGGTAAATTATGCAGTGCGGCTTTACAGTGACGAAGTCCTCAGAGGCCTTTTCTTGTACAATGCAACCATCGAAGAAAAGCATGGAAGCACAGCGGCGACAGTCACCTTTGTGGAAAGAATGAGAAGGCTCATTGAGGCCATGACTTCAAGGTGCAGCTAAGATGCACTTAAGCCTGGAGGGACACACGAGAAGTGCATTAAAAACTTCTTGACTTACCTGGATGATTGGGAAACAGATGCTGGCTCCAGAGGTTTTCTAAGCCGCAGTACAGCCGAGGGGCTTCGTGTTACCTTATCAAGCACGCTACACCTTCTCCGCTACCTGACGATGAAGTTGAACTTCAGATATATGATGACATGCCGCTTGAGTCAGGACCCCCTGGAGTAGCTGTTTGGAATCGTCCGACAAATGTCTAGATGCAATGATCACCCGACTGCCTCCCAGTTCTTAATCTCGGTCAACACTTTGAGCTTCCAGAATTTGGCAAAACCACCGAAAGGAAGCAATGTGTCCTCTTGACTACTGAGAAGTCTGCTGGGAGCTGACAACGGAAAGGACCTCACTCCTCGGAGGAAGTTAGACGAGCTTCTTGACGTAGGAAACCTTGCTAAAGCACATGAAGTGCTCAATGAATACGGCCACAGCACCGAGCATGCAGACATGGTGGTGCAAAGCGGCGATGCCAGACTCATATTCTACATGGCTGGATATGTGGCAAAAAAAAGCGTTGCAAGCACCAAATGTGCAGAGTGCAGTCAGCAGCTCCTACAAGGCAAGACTGCTGTTGACCGAGGAGGCCTGCTGTACCCATCAGCCAAGCTCAATGAACTCGTGACCACTCTCGAGAACACCTTTACCCACTGCTTCAGTGTGATAGAAGTCAAACCTGACAGCATCATGGACTTGTTTTGCTAAGAAAGCTTACACTTGTTGGCTGCCCTGACCACAGCATGTCCCTCACAAACAAAATTATCAAGTTCTATGTTCTTACTAGGCTCCACTTTCATGTCAAAGCTCAGAACAGCAAGCGAAACGCTAAGCAGGAAAGAATGAAATTGCTGAAGCTTAGACCTGTGCTCTGAGTTTGATATTGTAACCTTAAGCTCTATTGGGTTTTTTTTTTTTGCCGAGTGGAAAGTGATTGTATGCCTCTTATTACTTAGTGCCAAGCAATGCGCTGTCTGTGTGCAATGTTTCAATGTTTTTAACTACTCCCGAGAGTATGTAAATGTGCGTATTTTTTCATTATTTTATCCTGTATTCTATAATGCGCAATAGATATTACTAATAATATGATGTCCAATAAATATTTGTTTTATTTTCCTCCCCCAGAACTTGGGTAATATTTTTTTTTAAGAAAGCCGTCGCCTTGCACTCCAAAACACTGCAGGTATATGCGAACGAAAGCTTTTAGTTACGCAGATTTGACGTCACAGAAGTCTCGCAGCGGCAGCCAATTTCTTTTAATGCTTGAAATGGCATTCTATCAGCCATCGTCACAGTGAGTTATCTGAATTACCAATTTATCTGAATTGTGCATCTTTAAAAGATTCGCGCGCTTAAGGCGCAGCGCGCGTAGCTAGCATCCCCATTCCATCGACAGCGCCACCGCTGCGCAGCTCAAAACGAAGGAGCGGCTCCGAGCTCCCATTGGCGTCACCTCCCAATTCTAGCCACCATAGCTCAGTCGCTCAGTTCATGGTTTCCTTCTCGCTGCTGTTGGGTGCATTTAAAAGTGTGGCAGCTTGGGCTAGTTGGTATAACATGACGATAGTTATAGCGCGAGAACAGAACAAAGACACAGAGACAAGTCCTTCGTGTCCTTCTTGTCTCTGTGTCGTCGTTCTGTTCTCGCGCTATAACTATTGTCATGCTAGGTACAACTGCGGCATGATGCTTTTTCCGATTTCGATGCTTATCATTATGTTTGCGCTTCGCCACTGTGGTAACTAATCAGAGTAGCTGCTCGTCCGCACTATAAAAAAAAATCAGCTAGCCGCGAGTGATGGATGATAAGAATGGCATAGAATAATGCAAAAGTCACTGCTCCACGATACCCTGCCTCCATCTCGGCATTGTCGGATAATTTTGACGACGCACAGCTGCTGGTGTTAACGTGTCAGTGGAACTGTTCACTACGTTCACGAAAGCTGTTTTAGGCGTTGTTTCAGCATGCTTTTCACCATGGCCTCGCTATGCATGGGTGAGAATCATGTCGTGACGCTGCTGGGAAAGGATAGGAAGCAGCGAACATTTTTTTAACTTTGAGAATAAACGTTCCTTTGTTTTGCTAGCTCAGATCAGCAATACTTTTTTCTATTTCACTACAATGAAATTTTTTCTTCAACGAAATTATTTTCACGCCCCGTCAGTTTCGTTGTAGTGGGGTTCGACAATATTTGTTCATTTTGAATAATTCAAAACTTTCAATAACTTAAATTCGATTCAAAGCGAATAATAATACTGCATTATTCCTTCAAATATTCGAAGCATTTCAACATTTGCACAAGCATAAGAAAGAGTGCAGTAAAACAATGCAAAAAAGTATACCACATTTTGCAATGCCTAATTTGCATTTCTGCATGACACAGCCTTTACATTTCTCAACTGTCATGAAGGAAATTATCTACAGCAAACCTGTTCATAAGACATACCTTTTTGAATCAGTAAGCACAACGGAACACACTTATGTAAGCTCAAGCATTCACCATAAAATGCCGCATGCAAGAGCGACACTGAATTTTGGGAACATAACCCTTACAAGTGCAAAGTCCAGCAGCATAACACTTGGCACTAACACTTTTGTAACGCTGAAAAACTTATATTTTTTACACTCCAAAGGCCTGCATCAAAGGCCTCACTTTCTAATTCTCTATGAGAAGTTATGCTTTGTCTGGTAACATCCTCTCAACAGGTGTAACAAATGTGGCATGTGTAACACTCACCCTGCCCTTGTAGGCACCAAAGGAACACGTAGAGCAGGATGTCCTGCCATGGGAAGGTGATTGTGCCTTGAGCTGCCAGCATGTTGACTGCACACAAGTTAAACGAAAACACACTGTGTGCTGATCTAAGACCTCTTAACTTAGCTAACTAAAAAAAACATTAGGCAGACAAATAAAAGACCAACACGTACCCCCATGTGTAGAAACTTCGGGTCATGTCTATTCTATGTTCGGGCACATTGTGCCTACTAGCACTAGCGTTCAAGTGACATGTAAAGTTTGGTCACGTGTGGAGCATCTAAGTCGGTTGTTATAAGGCATCATTTTGCAGTGTTAGACATTGCATTTTGGTCGTTGGAAGCTATTATTTATAAGCAAGAGTGATTTTCTTGTTTGTTTTGAGTCAACTGTTCTTTAAGCTATACTGTGAAATCTGATGGCTTTCCACATCATTTAACGCGAAAGTGTTTTTTGCCGAGGTCCACCACAGCTCTGCTGACGTATTTCCGTCATGGATATAACTTAGTAAAATATATGCTAAGAGATTGTAAAGAAAAAGGTCAGCAGGAAAAGTTATCTCGTGTCGAACCAGCGACCTCTCCATCCTCAGCGCGTGGCGCTAGCTACAACACCACTTAGCATAGCATACACTATCAAAAGTGCTAATGGCGATCAATTTATATACACCATATACCATTTGGCGGTTGTCAGAGCTTCGAAAGTTCAGCGCATTTTTGTCATCCATAGCAAGGTGGCACGATGAGCTCGCATCGGGTAGCGTTGGGCGCTGTGCCTCTCGCGTTTCGATGAGCGCCGCCTCCACAGAGCGTGGTCTCTCCTGTGCGCGCTTATAAGACTCGTGGTTCGGGAGAGCACAAAGGTCACTTCACTCTCTGCCGCCGCTATGTTTACGAAAGAGGCATGCTGCTCACACACGAAGAAGTAAGAGTTGCGACAGTGAGCTGTAAGTGCAGAGCTGTGACAGCTGTTGGTCCGTGCTCGTCCTGTGTATGTTCATTTCGTGCCTGCTTTCTGCATGAGGTACGCGCTGCAAGTTTCAAGCTGCTCACCATTCTTCGTGTGAGTTTGCAATTTGTTGCTGTAGCATTCATTCCTTCGCCCTTGCGGTGAAATAAAGCACAATAAATGTTCAACTACCTCTCTGAAGACACGCTTCACTTTCGTATTACACCGATTACTAAAAGTAAAAATCAGCCACGTTTTTATCAAACTTCGCTGTCTTCATTACAATAAATAAACAATGCACTAGCTTCAATGGGACCGGACCAGCCATTACAAACAGATGACTTGCTTCTAAAGCAAACAGACGCAGCACACTGAAAATATAGTCATTTTTTTGGCCCACAGAAAATTTCCACCATTCCATAGCATTTTCAAAGGAAACCAGGCACACATAGGTACCTTGGACAGCATATCAGTGGCAAACGTAGCCTTCAACATATTCATATATGGTTTTAAACATTGTGCCAGTACCCATCTTAGATAGCAGCCCCTTGCCCCATCATCAACAATACTAAGTGTTTAGTCGTTGATAGGACTCCCTGCTACGTTTCGCCCATTCCAGGAGCATTCGAATTTCCCAGATAGACAATCTTATGTGGTGCAGGTCACACACACGTAGACTGACATACTGTGAGCACTGTCATCTCCTTCACCCTTTGGCTCTATTGTTGGGCTGCTCTTCAGGTGGTTCTGGCTGCTTACACTAGTTGTATTCAAACTTATTGCGCTGTGTGACAGTTCCACTGAATAATGCTGGCTGCATGTTGCCACTTAGTTCTGTAACCACTGCAAGCCCAGCAGGCTATGCAACCACTGGCAAAACTCAGGTATAACAAAAACAAAGAACGAAGTGGCCAAAGATGTCAGGTGCTCTAAAAAGTTATGCAGACCGAGAGGTGCAATTTCGTTAAGCAATCTGAATGAATATGCGGTGTGCGTAACTATAAACGTGAAGTTTTTGCAGAAAGGTGAGGCAAGAAATAAGTTACAGACCAACTTGGCGGTTGAGCATGGGGATGAAGAGGTTGACAACTCGGCCCGACACGAGCAGCACAACGCAGAGCAGAACCACAAACTGCAACCAACGACTGCGCCGGGGCCATAGGAAGGGAAGCAGCAAACGCACTTTGTTCTTGAAGCCCCGGAATGCGCTACGGCTGGCACCTTCCTCATCCAAAAGCGGCTGCAACAGGCAAGGCAATAAAGCTGGCAGACAATGTAACAAAACCTTAATGGGGGATGACCTGTGCATGGTAAGATGTACCTCTGGCACCACCTGAAGAGCTGACTAAAGAACTGTCAGTAACACAGTGCTGTTGCGAGGCAATATTTACACACCTGCTGACCGTCGCAAGACATGACCACGGCAGTCCCTGGACATGGACTATAGTGCTCAAGAATTGAAGTTTGCCACAATACCGTGTAGTGGGCAAGCAGCCATGCCACCAATTATTTTGACTTTCGGTTTTAAAGCACATGTCGTGTCGTGTACCTAGATAGGTATTTTCGAAGGGACCTGAGTATGCTTATGACACAAAGAAGCAGTTTTCAGTACCAACTGCAATACTGGAGATTCCGATAAGCCCCATGCACACATAAAATAAACTTTATATTCAACACTTTCTCCTACATTTTTCCTCCTTTCAAGCAGAGGGGTTAGCCCATAATTTCTATCAACTGATGTTCTTATTGATTTAGTAGATAGTTCTGCAGAGACGATACAGGTATAGGCAGTGCATTATAATGCCAAAGGCTTAAAAACAGCCCGTACTATGGCAAAGAAAAAAATTACAAAAAGGGAAGGAAAAAGAGAAAGTTGGAGCTCTTTAGACAATTTTCTCGCTTCATGTAAACTACTAGAACAATTGCTGTTCGGAACTTATCATTAGATTATCATGCACAGCTGAGCCTTCATATTTGGTGACTACTTATGAACAGGGGGATCAGACAACCCGGACATTGTGGGGCTGTCCCACAATGGGCCTACCGTACAGCAGCCCACAAAACATATGAAAATCTCCAAGAATGCTTTGCATTACGCACTTTATAACTATTTCTCGGCAGTGCCTTGGGTTCAGCTGCCTGTGGCCGCCCTGTTTGAGGTTGTGTTAGCTGCAAGCCCTCAAAGCTTCTGAGAAAATCAGGCTGCTGCAGGGTTCATGTCGCGACGACTGCTTCTGCAGCACCAGCTACGTAAATATGACTTCAAGAAAGCACCAGGGAGGTATTGTATTTGTTAGGCAATTTATACGCAAGTATAAAAACTAGTGGTGTACGAATATTTAAATCTCAAATTGTTTGCTATTCAATTCGATTTGCAGTAAATTTCACTATTTAAACTATTCTAACTTCCCGAAAACAAATACAGTCAACGACCAACTGACATAGCCCCTTCAGATTTTCAATATGCTTCACTCCAATGCACCCTCGTATTGCGGCAAAGCTGCCTTTCTATCTTTGCTACTGTCGCAAGTGTATTGACTCAAGAAAGCGCTTGTCCCAACATAGAGATGATTGATGTGGCAGAGGTGCGGGCTCAATTGATGCTGTTTTAGACCTGAAATTTCGGCAGGAAGTACGAAAATCGAATGCCAAAGAGTTTTATCATTCAAAATTTCAGATGTTCTAATACATTGATGTCAGCTGAAATGAGGCAGACTTGTAACTCGGGACTCGAACTGTCCACCTCATCTGTTGGGCTTCTACAAAAGTTGAAAGAGGAGAGGCTGAGGGAATCGCACCTTTGCAATTCACATGTAAAGTGTAGTCGGCAACACTTCAGTTGCACCAAATGATGAACATAAATACAATTCGGCCTCTGCATTACCCTATTCTTGACAAGACAACTATGACACCCCACTTCCCCTGTCAGCACTTCTACAACATAGCCAAAAAAAAACACTGTCGTGTAGCTGTCTTACAAAAATATGCTTAGAAATCCTCTCCAACTTTTTTTCTCTGCAGCTTCACTTCAAAGTATTTTAATCAATTCGCACACACTTCAATATTTGAATTCACTTCGCACCCAAAATTTTGATATTTGCAGAGTTATAATAGAAACTAAGCCAAAGCCATTGAGTATATATTGATTTTCTAAGTTTTTGCTTTGATTTTGACAACTTCTTATGACAGAGCATATCAAACAGCATTGTTTGCACAGCTATGTTTTTAAACTTGAACTTGTATCAATTACTCAATTTCCCTGGGACAGAGATGAACATATATTGCAAGAGAGAAAATTTCTCTCTATAAGTTAAAAAAATAAATTATTGTAGTTAACTTCATATCAGGGCCCCCCCCCCCCCCCTCCAGGGTTAGTGTGCCTTGAATTTCGCTGCTAGGAAGGTAGGCACGTTACTCATAACCAAAGTGTTGGCATAAACAAACACTAATAAAGTGCTAGTCACATTAGAAAGCCAGTAGACACAGTGCGTGATGCCATGACGATACGATACCTGCGTCTCTTGAATGTGACCCCTTGAGTAGAGGAAGTAGTCTTGGGCACTTGGCACCGAGGGACCCTTGAGGCCAATGCCAAACACCAACAGAGAGAGGACGAAGCGTGCCGCAAAAAAGGCCACGTCGGCTATGTCCTTGCGCCTGGGAAAGAACAAGGGTAGCACAGTCAGACACCGGTGTATATTAAAAAACATTGTAGAGAGACAGAAGTTGCATTACTTCTTTTATGTCTGGCAGTCCCAGGCTCTCAATTTATTGATTTTAATGAGGTGCCTGCACTCTCAAGAAATTTGAAGCTCCATTCTGCTAAGCATCCGGGCAGAAATATTGTTGTAGCTATCTTACAGATAAATCTCAAGAGGCAGCCACAGTCTCCCTCCCACAGCAGTGACAGATGCTCGACCACTTCACAAAGGCTGATTGATTAATGGACTGATTAACATGTGGGGTTTAACATCCCAAAACTACCATATGACTATGAGGGATGCCATAGTGGAGGGCTTCCGAAATATTGACCACCTGGTGTTCTTTAACGTACACCCGATTCTAAGCACACTGGGCCTACAGCATTTTCGCCTCCACTGAAAATGCAGCCGCCGCAGCCAGGATTCCATCCCGTAACGTGTGAGTCAGCAGCCGAGAGCACTAGCCACTAGACCACCGCGACGGGGCCATTTCACAAAGGCTGTGGTGGGACAAGGTGTTCCAGAAGATCTTCACAGATCTTTATGGGGTCACCTTCTAAGATGCGTACTACTCATAAACAACTGAGCACAAGGTCGGCACTGGTGACTGAACTGAGTGGCTTGTGCATTGTAGGTGAACGCTCTACCATATTGTCACAACTGCAGCCTCGAGGCTATAAAAAGTCCGGGCTGAAACCTTGCACACTGTTGGTAGTGCTATAACACAGACTAGCCATGGGAAAAAACTACAAGCAGTAAACCTGGTTACAACTTAAAGTTAGCAAATCTGACCAGACAATGCACGTTGGAAAAAAAATAAAATGTCCCCGTAGCTTCGCACAAGTGGCGGCAAGACTGAACGAAGAATGGAGCTGAGTGGCCTGTTTTGTTGTTCCTCTTCATAGTTTTTCTTTCTCTAAGTTCTTCATATCTCTTTATTCTAGCTGTCGCTTTTTATTTTTTACTTTCTCTGTTTTCCTTCCTTATTCTCTCCCTCCTTTAACTTCTCTTCCTTCTCTTCTTTCTCTTCTCTTCCTAATGCCACTAGTACAAGTTATGAAAGTATTATTTCCATTGATGCTGGCAGGCTTGTATGTGTCGCTGTTCAGAAGCGGACGAAGATGCGCATGCAGAGAAAAACAAAAAAGTCATATTGCCTTTTGTTCCTTTTGCGATACTCTGTAGGCCTGCTGACGTATGGGTCGTTCAGCATGGTCTGTGACAATGCAGTGCTTTATGGTTGACGTTTGCTTTATCTTAGATGTAGACGCGAAACAGTCGCTAAACATGCGGAGGATACAGCGGATTTGCTCTTTCTGCGCACATGACAGCTTCGAATTGACATCGACTCTATCGGCTACCGCGGTGTCACTTTCAACGACTGCAGAAATTGGGGCTATCGTCGTACACGCTTCATTGTCAATGAATTCGAAATGAGCGATAGTTGTTCGCTAAGCCAAATGTTGGTATACTACACTTAAATTGGTGACCAGCAACTCAGTCGTCCCACGTTTATATTGAATTATGCTGCGGGCAACGCAGATTTTCTGAGACATCAGCACCGAAAGATTGGCTTCAGCGATACCACTACTGTCATGATCTATGTCGCCCTGTACAGTAACGAACATACTGGTGCGTGGCGGAAGTGTGACAGGGTCATCGACAATGCAAAGCGCAGTCTTCTGCGGATCAGTATCTCTAGGCTGCGGACCATATTCATCAGCAAACGTTACGAGGCAGTCTCGAAGATTTATAACAGCGCCGTGCTCGCGAAGGAAATCCATGCCAAGGATAACTTTCCGGGAGCATTCGGGAAGCACAACGAAAGAAGCAATGAACGTCAACTCACAGATTTGCAGCCTTGCGGTGCATCTCCCGATTGGTGTCAAGAGATGCCCACCTGCTGTCTGAAGGTTTGGTACATGCCCCCAAGGAGTCATAACTTTCTTGAGTTCAGCCACAAGTTCAGCACTGATAACTGAGTAGTCGGCGCCGTTGTCGACCAAAGCAGTTACTGGATGGTTGTCGACAAGAACGGCAATGCCAGCAGAAACGGGTTCGTCAGCTATGTGAGGTGTCAGCTGAAAGGAATCATCGAAGGTCGGCGGATGGGTCGGAGGAGGCTGTTTTGACGATAGCTTAACAGCGGTCCCACCCCTGGAGACCGCTGATTCTAGTTTCCCCGGCGTGGACTTGGGGACCTAGAGGATCATCCCGCAACAACATCGGCGAAAATAGAGTACTGATTCGAGGACGTAGAGCGTCGAGGAGACGGAGAGCGTGATTGGCGTCACTGAAGATTCGGAGACGGTAGACTTGCCAAGTATTCTGCGATAGCGCGGGGTCGTTCCCCCTCCCTGGGCCGTTGATCGTCTGACCGAAATCCAGGTAGGCCCATCTGTCTGTACGAGCATTCCCGGTACAAGTGACCTGGCTCCGCACAGTGGTAGCAAAATGGCCGATTGTCGGAAGCGCGCTACATGCAAGATTTCCGCACATTAGGTCACGGATTCTAATAGATGGCAAGCCCAAGAAGTACTGCGGCATCTGCAGGCAAGTCGGTCGTGGATTTTCATAATGCAGCAGGCCCGAGAAGTGCTGTGGCGCCTGCAGGCTGTTCGGTCGGGGGGAAATAGCTGGCTACCGGTGTAGGAGTGCGTACAGCTTTGCATACGTTAGCAGAGTAGCTTCGGGTGAAGGAGGCACTAATGGTCGTACCAGCTGCTGCAACTTGTTACGAGCCGCGTCGGTGGCCGCAGCGGACCCAGTAGGTAGCATGGAGTTGGGTGGTGGTCGTCATTCCGCAGGCCACGGGGACGTTCAGAACCCTCGAGAGCTGAGGCAGAGGGACAGGCGTAAAGGAAAACTTAACAAGACGTTTATTTGCAACATGTTGGACAGTAACGTCCGAACGACGACTCTTCTCGCGACACTCTCCTGTTTTCTTCTGGCGGGCTGCTCCCGCTGCCTCGCAGTGCAGTTCCGAAGATATAGGCGGAATGTCTCTTCGGGGAACCGACCACTCATGGAAAGCACAACACAAGTGTCCCTTCACACACGTGGCAGGTGCACGTGGCACACGCGCGGGGACTCGGAAGCGACCACTCAGGAGAAATTCACAGCAGTCCCTCCTGTAGCACACAACCGGCCTTCCGCACATTCCAGAGGGGCCCGCCCGTAGCCACTGCCCCGCAGGCAAAGCGCACAGCCGAGACAAACAGAGCCGGTGCAGGCGACAACCCGCCCCCACACAGAATGTCCGAGATGACGGGAAGGCACGCTTGGGGCATCCGGCCCAAGGACTTCGTTACTGCTTTGTAACAACCTCTTCACGGACGATGTCAGTCAGAGCAGCCACTTGAGGCTGTGAAGGCACTGCACGAAGCTTTTGCAGCTCGTCGTGTACAATGCTACGGACTAGCTCAGACATGCAAGGTTGTCAGATCACTCATACTGCGAAGACCGCTGTCTTAGCATTTGCTCCATTGTTGTTGCTTCATGGCGGAATTTCACCACGGTAGCTGGTGGGTTTCGTACAAGTCCTGCAAGCAGCTGCTCCTTGACACCCCGCATCAGAAAGCATACCTTTTTGTCTTCCGTCATTGCAGAATCAGCTCGGCGGAACAGGCGAGACATCTCCTTAACGAACATGGCCAAACTTTCATTTGGTCTTTGATTGCGAGAATTGAGAAGATGTTCTGCTTGTTCTTTCCGGTCGGCGCAACCATACGTGTTCCGCAGCCAAGTGCAAAACACCAGCCAGGTTGTCAGGGCAGCCTCGTGGTTCTCAAACCAAATACGCGCTGAACCCTCCAGGAGATATAGACATACCGCAGTTTCCGGTGCTCGTCCCACTCGTTGGCGACGGCGACTCGCTCGTATTGGTTCAGCCAGTCTTCAACGTTGTGGTGTACACGTATCCCGAAGGAGTACCGCCACCAGCGTGGGTCCGGTCTTAGCGAGCCGCAGGGCACGCGTTAACCGTCGCCGTGGCGAGGACACGATACTGCTCAAAGTCGCAACACTTTATTGTGGCAACACCAAACGCAGTACAGCCCGTTGCAAAAAAGGCGTGGCGAGAAAGCAAATAGGCTTATCCACGCCACGGGCACAAAGTAATACACAGGGTGCCATGAGCACGTCTCCGCGGTAAAGCCCCGCCACGGTGGTCTAGTGGCTAAGGTACTCGGCTGCTGACCCGCAAGTCGCGGGTTCAAATCCCGGCTGTGGCGGCTGCATTTCCGATGGAGGCGGAAATGTTGTAGGCCCGTGTACTCAGATTTGGGTGCACGTTAAAGAACCCCAGGTGGTCAAAATTTCCGGAGCCCTCCACTACGGCGTCTCTCATAATCAAATAGTGGTTTTGAGACGTTAAACCCCACAAATCAATCAATCTCCGCGGTAAAGGTGATCCACGGAGACACCGGGACAAAAACCCGGTTGCTCGAGCGAGGGCAAAGGCGCTCGCGTTGCCTTCGAAGGGAGACGGGTCGGCGTAGCGAGGCCACGCACTAGGACACCGTACCGCCCTTCGGCCGTGCGTACGCAGCGGGACAACAAAAGGTGAGCGTTTGCATCGGGCGCGAGGCGCCGTCAGCGAAGTCCGACGAGCCTCGACTGACGGGAGTCAACGGACGAAAAAAATTGTGTGGCTCACCGTTTGCTGTCCCGGAGAATACTGTCCGCTCCTGACGCAGCGCGCGAAAACCTCTCGGGAGTCCCCGCGCGCGGCGCCACAGTCAACATCCACTTCCAGGTGAGGGAGTTAAACGCCACTCCGCTCTCCCACCACGGCAGACAGCAAAGGAGGGCAGACATGTCGGGACATGAGAATGGCAGAAAAGGCGGCAAAGCCCGCGCAAAGGCAGCGGGCTAGCCTCAATTCCCACAACGTCTTCGTAGGACTCCTCATGGAAGGGCTTTGGGGTTCAAGGTGCTGGTGGCAATGGAGCTGGC